AGACCATACGTTAGGCCACAAAACAAGTGTTAATAAATTTTAAAAGATTGAAATTATGCAGCGTCATTCCTAATTACTATGAAATAAACTAAAAATAGAAGAAGAAGAACTGGAAAATTCACAAATGTGTGGACATTAAATAACACACTTTTAAACAACCAATGGGTAAAATAAGAAAAATTAGAAAATACCTTAGGACAAATGAAAACACAATTTGCAAAAACTAATGGGATGCTGTAAAAGCAGTACTAAGAGGGAAATTTATAGCTTTAAATACTTACATTTTAAAAGGATAAAATATTTCACTTCAACAATACAACTTTATGTTTTAAGGAAGTAGAAGAAGAATAATGATCTAAACCCAAAGCTAGCAGAAAAAATAAAATAATAAAAGATATGAGCAAAGATTACCATAATTCATTTGAGAATGTTGCCTAAAAATACAGTAAAGAAACTCAATATTATTTTCTTTTCTATTAGAAATTCAATGATATGCACTCTTAAAACACTTCTGCAGGAAATGATATATTATTATAGACAAATTAACCTGAAATAGAAACAGTCGTTTGATTCTTCTACTTGTTCCTAGAGTTGAGAATGAAAAAGGGTACATTCTTGTTGAGATTAGTTTCCAGAACTGAAGCCTCAATGGAGACTTGGTCTTTTCCATTCTCTGCAGAATATGGCTTTAAATTATGTCCTTAGAGTTCTCTCTAGCTTATCCCATGCTCTGGGTACCAGCCTTCATACTTACACCACACTGCATCACTGGCATCACTGCTCTTAATGAGAATGTGTGAACAATTTCCTAATTTCATGAAATAAGAAGTGGACAAACAGCTCAATTAAGAAATGAATATCTAAAATTAGTTTTGATTATAGTTTTAGTATTTTGAATAAGGTGAGCCAGATGGAAAGAACGTCCATCCCCTGTGCAACTTAGGTAGAAAAAATAATTCCGTTAATAATTTAATCAGAACAAATGATTCCTCTAAGGAATCAAATGTAGCAGGAAAAGATAAATCTTTAAGAACTAAGGCTCTTAAAATATAAGAATATAAGATAATAATGAGAAGCTGAGTCTAAGAATTTATAGTAATCAGAAGTACACCAAAAGCTGATTGAATGGCACAGTTCTGATTTAAAGTCATTACGCTACCACGGAGCTCAAACTGTCAAAGTGGATTTATGAAAATTATACAGCTTACTTAATACCGAGTTTTACTAATTGATGAAGAGTATGAGCAAAAAGTAAGCAGAGAAACAGCAACACCCATCTCTGAAAAGGCCCAAAAGATCTGACATACTTCCAAAAAAATCTATTTTTGCACTGTAATGTACTTTGTGTCTGAGTAGGAGATTAATGTTACTGTATGTACCACGTACATGCCGTACATGTTAGCCCTACGAGGCCATTTAAGTTTAGAGCTTCTTAGGTTTTACATTCCTTTAGTTGCACAGGTAGGAAACCTACATGACTAACTTTAGCTCTCCAAGTTGTGCCCTGTACTTCACAAATTCCAGATTCATCTACAATAAGCAATGCAAAAAGCCTACTAAAAACATTCTTAGATGAGAACTTCTTGGGTTATCTTCCTGCTTGTAAATACCATCAGAGTGTTTACAAGGAGGGAAGAGTAATGAAGCTGTTGCTAGTTCTTTCTCTTTTGTGAAGACACAGATGAAGTGCGGTGCTGGGAGTGGCAAGGGATTGAATCAAGCAAGATTCAGAAATATACAAGTGATTCAATGGCCCTTTATATTCAAATCTCCAAACTTGAGTTTTATATACCATCTTCTCAAAGGAATAAAACAAAAAATTCAATCATATACAACAATTTTGTCTATTATAAAGTTGAATGTTTGCCCCACACCTGGCCTGCCATCGTGCATTAGGGGACCATGGATGATCAAAAGAATCCCTGTCCTGATGAGGTCACTGCTGATGCTCTTATTTATGCTAAATTGTGAACATTTGATGCACATGGGTCCATGATTCTTTACCAACCATACCAATCACGTCTAGGACAGATAAGGGGGAGGAAGATGGAGTACATGCAACACCCTACCAAATTCTCTGCCATCATCTGACTCTGCACCTACTCCATCTTCCCTTCAAGACCAATGGAAGGAGGGTGCTGCTTATGGTAATCAGATCACCAGGTTGCTGTTCCAGGGCCATATGCAGGGAGTACAACCAAAAGCACAGGCTTCCCTTTATCTTTTTGTTCCTGCCCAGCTACGATGTCAATTCTTGCCCCGAAATTTGACCTATCCCTCTTTTCCAGTCCAAGTAACATGGTTTTTCTTACCTGCATGGCTTCATTGAAACCAAAACTAACATTTCCAAACACCTGTCTGTTAAAAGTAGAGATGAATTTTGTTTTTCAAATTTGAAAATGCTCATTAAAATAGAAAACTAATGTGTGCCAGCTGAGTAATACTCAGATGTCTCTGTACAAGAACCCTTCATCCATCTCTGCTTCGCAGTCCTCCTGGGTCTGGGAGCTGACCTCAGGCACAGCCAGGCAGGGAACTCATGGCTCACTCTCATTACAGGGGGTGGAAACCAGAATAATCAAGACCAGTCTGGCAACATAGCAAGACCTTGTCTCTACAAAAAAATTTAAAAATCAGCCAGGCATAATAAGTGTGTGCTTGTGGTCCTAGCTACTCAGGAGGCTGAGGCAGGAAGATACCATGAGTTCGAGGCTCAAGTAAGCTATTAAATAATGGTACCACTGCGCTCCAGCCTGGACAAAATAGCAAGACCCTGTCTCAAAAAAGGGGGGATACATAATAATATATCTTCCCATTCCATATTTATCCACCCCTTACCCCTGAGAAATGACCATAATATCCTTGCAGAACTATTGTATGTATACATGAGCAAGTATGCACAAGCTATTTCTCTGTTTTACAGACATGGAAGCATTTCTTAAATAGTATAACAACCTATTTTTTCTTAAACATGTTGGTAATTGTTCTATATCACTATATGAAGACCTCCTTTGAAGAATTTTTTTACAATTTCTTATTATTAGGAAATAGAACTTACATAATAGTGCATAATTATGTACTGTTTAAATTATAAGTACACATCTTTTACTGCCATACAGATTTTTTTACATTACATATGTGAATAGCATCTCAATAAAGCAGACATTTAAAAAAAAAATGAATGAAAGGAAGGAAAAGAAATAGGACCCTTCCACAGCACAGAAAACTCTCTCGTTCCCTACAAAAGCTAGAGTTTAAAACCAGCCTGACTACTGGGTATATTTTTGGTTTCTCTCTGTCACCCAGGCTGGAGTGCAGTGGTGCCATCTCGGCTCACTGCAAGCTTCGCCTCCCAGGTTCACGCCATTCTCCTGCCTCAGCCTCCCGAATAGCTGGGACTACAGGTGTGCACCACTATGCCTGGCTAATTTTTTAAATATATTTTTAGTAGACACAGGGTTTCACCATGTTAGCCACGATGGTCTTGATCTCCTGACCTCGTGATCCGCCTGCCTCGGCCTCCCAAAGTACTGGGATTACAGGCATGAGCCACCGTGCCCAGCCTATTTTTGGGTTTTTAATGAATGCTTTTCCCATCTATACAGGCATCTCTCTGAAACATTATTTACTATATATTTGGCTTGCAATTGCTTTATCTGACTTGGGACTTGAGGGGTAGGTTTTCTGGCATAGTTTCTGTATCCTGATCTAGTATGTCACTTATAAAATATACATGGTGGCCAGGCGCGGTGGCTCATGCCTGTAATCCCAGTACTTTGGGAGGCCAAGGCGGGCAGATCACAAGGTCAAGAAATCGAGATCATCCTGGCCAACATGGTGAAACCCCGTCTCTACTAAAAATACAAAAATTAGGTGGGCATGGTGGTGGGCACCTGTAGTCCCAGCTACTTGGAAGGCTGAGGCAAGAGAATTGCTTGAATCCAGAAGGCGGAGGTTGCAGTGAGTTGAGATCGCACCACTGCACTCCAGCCTGGCGACAGAGCAAGACTCCGTCTCTAAAAAAAAGAAAAAAAATATGTATACATATACACACATATATATGGTTAGAATTTTAAAATCCAGCCTGATGATCATTTTGCTTTTAACTAAAACATTTAGTCCAATTACACTGAATACAATTATTGATATTTTCAGTTTATATGTAACATTTTATTTTGTGCTATATATTTTTTTTGTCTTCCTTTGGATTGAGTGTATCTTTGTTATACTATTGTTTTTCTTGTCACTTGCAAGTTATTTGCACAGTTTATTTTCCTTCGTTAGTTATTTAAAGATATTAGGCATTACTTATAAACCATAAGATATTAGGCATCACTTATAAACCATAGTTTAAACTTAATCAATGTCTTTACTCATGCTCTGGATAAAACAAGAACTTAGAACCCTTTAACATGGTTACTCTTTTTTCTGTTTTAGAGATTTTGTTGTAGATTGCAATTGTATGTTTGCAAGCCCAGAAGTCTTTATTATTACTGATAAACTCCGTCTTGAGATTCAAGCAACCTGCCTCTCCATTTGCCTGTTCAAACCTGGAGAGGGCTCCTCCCGACCGTTGCTTGCCTTGAAGTTATACGTTCGGGTTAATATTTTGTCTTGGTGGTCTCCCTGCACCCTGTCCACACCTTTGAATATACCCTTATTATTAAAGTGTTCTTAAACGACTCAGTTTGAGAGTGCTAGGACCCTGATGATATAATCTTATACCCATTTTAAGACATTGATCGTTTTTAGCACCTAGTGGAGTGTTCTGTGAAGGGAAAGGACCTTTGAAGCAAGCAGCCTTGCCTGGGAATCTTGGCCCCAACTCCTAAAAGGTCTCAAAGAACAACACAACCACTCTCTCTACATGCCCCCTAAAATTGTAAGATACCCTTCTGCACCAGGTGTGTTTCATTGAGTCCGGTGAAATAAAGGAGAAAAGGAAGCAATAGGAGGAGATGGAAAATGTTTAATAAGGACAGGAATTAGTGTTCACAAACCTGTTCCTTCTGGAGATTTTCCAGGACATTTTCTCTGATCCGCAGTAGCTGCACTTCTGGGAGGGCACCTGTGCTGAGGTCCATGTCCAGCTTGGTCCAGACAATGTAGAACTTCTTTCCCATGTCCTCAGTGGTTTTGGCAAGCATCACATGATTCATGCTGAATTGTGCAGATGCAACCATGATGAAGTCATACTGGTTGAACTGCATTTCCATGAGGTAGTTCTCCAGGGTTTTGGTGGCAGACCCTGTGCCAGGCAGGTCCCACAGCACCATATTTGGAAAGTGGGAAGATAAATAAGGGGCACATCTTTGGGTAGCTTTTACCAGCCCAGTAGGAGGTGAGGGCTTCCCCTCATGTCCTGTGTTTCAAAGGGCACTGATGAAGGTGTTCATCCCACTGCCAGAGTCCCTGCCATAGCAATGTTGACTGGTGTCCTGGACACTATCTTCAGAGTCTCGTTGATGGCAGAGGCCACCTCTGGCAAGTTCCCACCTACTAAGGCTTTCTCAACATTCGTGGCCTCCGTCTTTGATAAAATACCCCAATGCTGGCCGGGTGCGGTGGCTCCTGCCTATAATCCCAGCACTTTGGGAGGCTGAGGCGAGCAGACCACGAGGTCAGGAGATTGAGACCATCCTGGCCAACATGGTGAAACCCTGTCTCTACTAAAATACAAAAAATTAGCCGGGTGTGGTGGTGTGCGCCTGTAGTCCCAGCTAATCAGGAGGCTGAGGCAGGGGAATCACTCGAACCTCGGAGGCAGAGGTAGCAGTGAGCCGGGATCACGCCACTGCACTCCAGCCAGAACGAGACTCTGTCTCAAAACAAACAAACAAAAAAACCCAATGCTTATGGTGTGGCAAAAAGGGTTTAGGATGCAGCTAATGGAGTGTGAGGGGCACGTGGGAACTCTGTCGTATCGGTGGGCACTGGAGTAAGCTGCGGAAGTAGAAGAGCAGGTGAGTTAGGATGGACAGGGTGCACATGAATCATCTGACTTTTAGCATCCCCAGCCCTCAACAAAGACTGCAGCAAAGACATCTGGATTAAAAACAATCAAAAAACACTCATTCAAGCAATGTGCACATTCCTTCAGGGAGCAAGAACGGTAGGGCCCCTGAGGAACCCTCTGAGGCCAGTTGTGCCTCCAATAGTCAGCCTCCAAAGCGGGACTGTGGTCATGAGACGGCTTGAATAGCAGGGAATGAACCAAGTCTCCTGAAAAGCCCGAGAATTTTCTGTCTTTTCCTCTTTTACTCTATCCTAACATAGGTCTGCTCCTTCGCAAGTTTCAGTCCACAACCAAGGCCAAACAAGTAAAAGAGACCTATAGATTTCTCTGCTGAAGATGGCGCCAGAGGACATAAAACATCCAATTCCCATTGCTTACTTGAAGCTGTGGTTGGTCTCTGTTTAACACTTGCCTCATCCGGCAGGGGAGCACACGTGCAGAGCAGTACTGAAATGCTGCAATATATACAAAGTAAGCCACCAGCCTTTGACCCCCTGAGCTTCCCTTAGGATTCTCACGTTGGGCCCAACTGAAGTGAGGGAGAGGAGAGAGTATACTCAAATGCTCTGGTCTTCTTCGAGGCAGTGATTAAACAATTGATTATCACTGTGTTTGCCAAACCCGGCTCTTGCAGGTTCCCCACGGGGCCAGGTATTTGAGACTGATTAAAAGAAGGTGATGTGATTCTCTACTCCTAGCATGGCCTGGCAGGTCTGTTTCACATACTCACTGTGAACACACACAACACTCTACACAGAGCCTCTCACACCTGGTGTGCACACTCACCCATGCCCAGCCATGTTCACTTACCCCACACACTCACGTTCACACTGTCTCACTCACCATCAGCATGCACACATACACTCGCTCGCACTCTGTGCACAGGCCCACACATATTCACACTGACACATGTTCACGCACCCTAACATACTTAAGCTGACATGTGTAAACATGAATACACACATTCATCCCTGTTGCACACACACTTGCTCACTCAGGCTGCAACATGTTCACTTACCCCACACACAAACACACATTCACTCGTGGTGCCAGGTTCACACAAACTTACGTTTGGTGCACACACGCTCACACACTCTGTGCATGTATATATACACTCATGTAGGCTGACACATGTTCGCTCACCTACCCTCACTCATGCTTGATGTGCCCAGTGCCCACACATTCTCTCACATGACACATGTTTGTACACTCATGCACACACAGAATCTTGCCTCCTGAGTGCCCAGGACAATGGATTTGTCCAAGTCTGTGGCCCTTTTAGAGGGCCCAGGAAACAGAGAACTGGCTCCAGCTGTCCATCTATGAACTATGAGGAAAGGCCCTAATGGAGGAGATGGATGAGAGAGGCCCTGTTCTCTGGAATGTATGTGAGTCTTCAACTTCTCGGTGCCTCACTTGCCTTGGGAAGATTTTATAACCCACCATGTGGCGAGAGCAGCCACTGATCATTGACTTCTTCATGCCAGACTTCATCTGTGGCTGCTATGTAAAGTTTCTCCACTGTAACATTAATTATTTTGGTTTATGTAAATAACTAGTTTCTTCTCATCAAATGCTACTTAGATATGGTTGCTTTTAGTTAGTCCACAAAGAGGAAGAGGTAACCTATGGAATCTGGAGGGAAGGAGGCAGGGCAGTTACCAGGTTCAAATGTAGTCCCTCAGCAGTCTAGCAGGAAAATGGAGTGGGGAGGTCTGGCCTTCGGAGTTTTGCCCACATGTCTCTGCATGGATAGCCGGCAGGCTGGTTAAAGTGAGGAATCGAGCACTCCCCTTCCCCACAACGTTATACTTGATAGATGCACAAGGGAGTGGAACAGGAGCACATGCAGGGCTGGGGATGGGCTTGGGCCTGTGGCAGGGCCATTTTCTAACCCAAGTAGTCCCAGAAAGTATTGCTTCACCAGGTATTAAATGATTGGCGTCATATTAATACATACACAGGTCTTGGCATTAACCATTAAACATTTCCACTAGAATCTTTACCATTGTACTCTTTGTGCCCAGCCGGTGTTTAACATATTTTTGTTTGATTAATAAAACACAGTACACTTTGTGTGTTATTAACTTACTAACGGACAGATAAATTAACTTCCCTTTCTAAACTGTCCCTGCTGAGCACAGGGCCTACTAATATACATCTGATTTTCAAGCACACTCTGCTTGGGTACGACACAGGCCAGTGCAGGGTACTGACTGTCCATGGTGAGTGTGGGAGGTCAGCAGAAAACCCTATAGTTTTCCAGGCTTTTTCTGTGACCGTGTCTGTGAACACAGCCAGCAGCTTCAAACCTGTCTGCTTACCTGTCCACCAGTGCTGAGCCCCATGGAAAAGAGCCTTAGCCCCTGCAGCCCCAGCTCAACTGTCCCACCCCCAGGCCTCGATCATATGATCCACTTCTCCTGGGCCCATGTGAAGCCTCACCAGCTGCACACTGGACACTACTGAGCCCAAAATAATTATTTGTACAATCGAGATACTTTATCTCAGTTACACCAGGACTCTGCTGTGTTGTGTCTGCCCAGGCCCCTGTGCCACTGCCAGGCCAGTGAGGGCATGGTTTCCTCTGCATGAGGTTGCAGTGTCTTCCAGGTGTTTTAGTGGGTCTATGTGTTTGTGTGCATGAGCCTCCAGGAGCACTGACCTGGAAGTTTAGAAGAGGTCATCAGAATTCAGCCTGGGTTGCAATTGCTCCAAGCTCGGCTCTTTGACTATCTTGCCCAGATATATTGCCAGATACCTTCCTCCAGACAGGAGAAGAGGAGTCCTTTTGGAAGAGGAGGAAGAGGCCCTTCGAGAGGGAGTCACGGGACCAGGTTCAATTACAGAGTGGCAGCCATACAAAAAAAAAAAAAAAGAACCAGACCCTAGAAGGAGCATATTCCTAAATTTACTAAGTGAGCACATAGGAACCAGTACACATGCACACAAATACATGCACACAGGCAAATGCAAGGTATTACAGAACAATTTGCCTTAAATACACTCTATAACTCCTATTCCATTCTATGAATGTTTCTTCATCTGTTTGTTTTTTAATGCTGGTCATAATCTGATGAATTAATTTCACGAGTAAAATATGCAGAATGAAGAACACAGATTAATAGATTTCCCATGTAAGGTTATATATAGTTAATTCCATACCAATTATCTTGATCCCCAAACAAAGGTACTTACAGCAAAGTAAGACCTGGCCTTAGCACAGATGTGGAGGCTGGTACATCAGAGAACTCCATGAACCCGGAAACCAATGTGCATCAAATCCCAGGCTTTTGCTCTGTTTGATCACTATCAGAAAAGGCTGACGGAAAAATCAATGTGATGATTCATATAGAATAATGAAACTGGATCCCCAGCTCTCACCTTACACAAAAAATAAACTCAGCTGGGTGTGGTGGCTCATGCCTGTAATCCCAGCACTTTGGGAGGCTGAGGCGGGTGGGTCACGAGGCCAAGAGATCGAGACCATCTTGGCCAACATGGTCTCCACTAAAACTACAAAAATTATACATATGTGACAAACCTGCACATTGTGCACATGTACCCTAGAACTTAAAGTATAATAATAAAAAATAATTAAAATTAGCTGGGTGTGGTGGTGTGCACCTGTAGTCCCAGCTACTCGGGAGGCTGAGGCAGGAGAATTGCTTGAACCCGGGAGGCAAAGGTTGCAGTGAGCCGAGATCGTGCCACGGCACTCCAGCCTGGTGACACAGCCAGACTCCGTCTCAAAAATAAAAATAATAATAATAATAATTTAAAAATAAACTCAAGATGGATCAAAGACTGAACTCTAACTTGAAACCATAAAAATTCTAGAAGATAACATTGGAAAAATTCTTCTAGACATTAACATAGGCAAAGAATTCATGGCTAAGATCCCAAAGCAAATGCAGCAAAAACAAAAATAAATAAATGGAACCTATTAAACTAAAAAGCTTCTGCACAGCAAAAGAATTAATCAGCAGAGTAAACAGACAATCCACAGAGTGGGAGAAAATCTTTGCAAACTATGCATCTGACAAAGGACCAATACCAGAATCTACAAGGAACTCATACAAATCAGCAAGAAAACAAATGAATAATCCCATCAAAAAGTGGGGCAGAGAACATGAATAGACAATTCTCAAAAGAAGATAGACAAATGGTCAACAAACATGAAAAAACATGCTCAACATCCCTAATAATCAGGGAAATGCAAAGTAAAAACACAGTGAGATATCACCTTACTCCTGTCAGAATGGCCATAATTTAAAAATTAAAAAATGACAGATGTTGGCATGCAAGTGGTGAAAAGGAACACTTTTATACTGCTGGTGGTAATGTAAACTAGTACAATCATTATGGAAAACAGTATGGAGATGACTCAAAGAACTAAAAGTAGATCTACCATTTGACCCAGCAATCCCACTACTGGGTGTCTACCCAGAGGAAAAGAAGTCATTATATGAAAAAGACACTTGTACATGCATGTTTATACTAGCAGAGACCTTGGGCATCTGCTTCACCTCTCAGAGAATCTCATTTCCTTCTGTTTTAAATGGGGACCATAATAAAAGCCCCCAGGGTGTTTAAAGTAAGTGAAGCGATGCCCCAGTACAAGGGCTCTATAAGACTGGTAAGATGATAGTGTGTCTGCTTTCTGGAGATTTACAGAACTAAGAAGTTGCAAAACCACTTATGCAGCTATGAGATTGTGAGGTTGGCTTTGTCCCCCCTTACTCCTTGCCCGGGTCAGAACAGGACAACTGTCAGATTGAGGAGGCAGAAAGGGCATGTGGATATGCCTTCACCAAAGGCCAACAGTAAGGGCCAGAGGGAAGAGCCCAGTGTGCAGAACACAGTCAACAGGACCTCAGTTGAAAGATAATGGGGCCCACCTGTTGCAGAGACCGAGGAGGTGAGAGGAAAACCTGCGGATTAGGGCTTTTCCTATCTCAAAGATCCAAAAAGGAGTATCAGAGAGGGTCCCTCATGGTCCCTCATACTAGAGGATAGGAAGTAACATTCACTACCCCCCAGAGACCATTAAGGCCAGATTGCAACCATATCACAAGCGAGACTTGTCCTGACTTTTACCACTGCCTCTCCTCTCCCCACCTCTCTACCCTTCAGCACCCTCCCCACTCCCACACAGACACCTTGTAAGGGTCCCAAACATCAGACACTCATAGCATAGGAGGTAGGAGAAAGAAAAGACCAGAAGCTGACTCTTTTCTTGTCCCTCCTGCTGATTTCTCATTCCAAGGTGGGACTGAGCTGGGGCGAGGGAGATTTAAGTTCAACAAGGGTCTAGGGCTTGTTTATTAGAATGTCTGGACTTCCGATTACCTGAGTGTGACCGGGAGAGAGTATATTCCCTGAGCATGGCCAGAGAATTAATGAACCTGTATGGTATTCCAGCCAATCCTTGGGGACTATCATGGGTCCCTTTTGGAGCTGTGATGCGGGGGGCAGTGATGTGAAGGCATCAAGACGCTTTCAGTGATTCCAGAGCAGATTCCTTAATTCTATCTCACTCTGCCCCTAGGACCCAAAGGCCAGGTCTCCCTCAGTGGAGCATAGGCAGAGAAGAGATTTCAGACTCATCAGTACTCGTTGTGGGGGAAGAAGACCTCAGGGGCTGAGCAGGGAGGGGAAGGAGGAGGCTCTCACTGGCCTTTGCACTGCCCCCAGAAATCCTAGTCTGTCATCCCAAATCCAGCTCTGCTGACTGAAGACTTGTCGGCTCCTCTCAGTCACTGAGAGCCCTAATTTTGGCCCCAGTGGCTTCTCACCCTCCCCTCTCTCACTGAGCCATCCACACCGGGCAGCCTGAGGACTGGACAGAGAGCCTTTCACTCTCCTATCCTTGGAAATACTGGCTTTGTTGGGAAGAGGAAAAAGCATGATCTGATTTCACTTTTCTTTTTCATATATGGAGCTTTCAAGAAAAAGTCAGAGTCTTACATTTCAGCCAGAGCATAAATATCAGCACTCTCTTACTTTTTAACAGGCAAATTAGGCATTTCTGTTCCAAATACTCTGGCTGGTTTGAAAAAAAAAAATCAGATGGGAATCTCAGTCTTAAAATGAGAGATTTGGAGCTCACTATCTCTGCTTCGGGCCTCAGGTTCTTTGGATGTTAATCATCAGTGATACCCCTCGGGGCTGTGGGTGCCACACTAGGAAAGCTTCTGGTGCCCTAGTATGCAAAGAGCCCCATGCAGCTTTCACCCACAATGGGGGCTCCTATATCTCTTGCCATCACAGCCCAGCCCCACTCAGCCACAGCAAGGTAGGTGCCAAAGGATTTTGCCAGCACGTCTTACCTCCTTGTTGTGGCAACAGTTAACAGTTTCCAAAACTGAAAAAATGTACATCCATCAGATGTGACTTTCTTGGAAAGACAGTAGGAGCAGAGGGGGCTGAGCCAAGTGCAGCCAGTTAAGTAAAAGGCGGCAAGAAGAGATGCGTTTAGTGAGGAATTTGCGAGTGAGGGAAGAGATAGTAGGTGTTTTTCTGATGGTTAGTCGCTGGGTGTGGGAGCTGCAGATGGAGGGGATCATGGGTGTCTGATAGAAGAGAAAGTGTACTGCAAACGGGCTGAGGTCCCAGGTCTTCCTCGGTCAGTATCTGGAGCTTTTCCTCCATTGTGTCTGAGATTCATTATCTTAAAGTTATTTTCATTTCATTCAGGCTTTATGAAGTTGAAGTAGATAATGTATGTGTAAGCACTCAAGAAATCCTGAAGAATTTAGTTATTTAAATTCCCATTACTATTCCGTTGTTTTAGCTGATGTTCATCCAAGAATGTGGAATAAAGTATTCCTTATCCAACTCACATAGAGACTAGGTAGTAGGCAGGGGTACAGGGGCATGCCTGCTGTGTATCTAGGTCCCTGAGAGAAGGGACACGGAGGGAGGAATGACCAGGAACAAGGGTTACTTCCCATCTGTTGTAGGCTGGTTCTCTTTCATCCTAGCTCTTCTCAGTCTTTGCCTCTTTTGAACTCTTCATCTCTGCATGCTGTTGACTTTAGCTGGGTATCCATGGTTAATGTTCAATATATTTATCCATCAGAGATGTGGACCTGAGCGCATAATGACCTCCCCATCATTGACACCAGGAGCTTGCTGGCACCTGGTGGAGGATGCTCAGTGAGGATGTACTCTGTTATCAATAGAGCCTGGCAATAGACCCCCGTTACCCAGATCTGCCTTTGCAAGAATTTTGAATCAATTGCCCAAATTCTTAAGTTGAGAAGGGAGGGAAAGAGACAGAAGGAGAGAGAGAGAGTCTGTAAACTGGCCAGCCAACTCTATTAACTTGAATTAGGTGTCCTCC